GAGAGAGAGAGAGAGAGAGAGAGAGAGAGAGAGAGAGAGAGAGAGAGAGAGAGAGAGAGAGAGAGAGAGAGGGAGAAGATGAAGGGGGGAGGGCATACGTGGGGAGTGAACGAGGGGATTCAGGAAGTGGCAAGTGCGGCGCTGAAGGAGGTGCTGCTGAGGCGATGGCTGCGATGCGCAGGTATAACTGTAGTAATGAGCTATGGACTCCTGGTGATGTGGAACCTGGTCTCATGGTGGCGGAAAGGGATCGTGGAGTGCATTTTGACGGTTCTTTGCCCGCAGTCGTGGCCTTCTCTTGCCGTCTTCGCCTCAGCCCAGCTTCTCTTCATCTTGGCTAATTGGATTGTGTCGGAACCAGAATATACTCCCTCAGCTTCTGCCGTTGATATGCTGCAGACGGCCTGGATGAACATTTCTGCTAAATTAGGGCTAGGTGGATACGCTGATCCCGCCAATCATGGGAAAATGGCGGGAAAGTTGGCGCGAGCTAGGAAGGTGGGCGATCGAGCCGCGTTCTTGGTTCTAGTGATGGCCTCCGGTGTCTTGGGATTTCCCGCCTATCTTGCCCTTCAGCCATCGCCATCGCCATCGTCATCTCACGATTTCTTGTTGTCGTCGTCTTCATCATCCAACGGTCCATCTTCTTCGTTCGCGGGAGCTGCTACTACCGGTAGTACCTCGAGTTTGCAAAACGGAGGATCCACGTTGAGGTTGGCGGCGGGAGTTCTGCTGGGGGCGGTTTATGCCCTGCGCCATCTTTATCGAAGGGACTGGATTCTCAGTTTCCCGATCATCCAGGTTCGTCTCGCTGATTCCTTAACCTACTCTTGCGTTCCTCTCCTTCCTCTCTCCTCTCCTTGCTCTTAAAGAGTTTCATATTTACAGTATGTGTTTGTATTTGTTTTCTTGCGCATTCAAAATTCAAAAGGTCAGCAAAAGCGGCGGCGCCGCAAGATAATCCGTGCAGTTGCGGATCTGTCTCTTATACACATCTAGATGTGTATAAGAGACAGATATGAAGCTTGAGGAGGGGCAAGCTCTTTGTGCTACGTTGGAAGACCGATGGTACGAAGAAGA